TAACAGATTTCGCCCATATGACACTGCTTCTACTTATCTTGGTGACTGACATAAAAGAAAAACAAAGGTTTCTTTTCGCGATTTGCCATTAACGGTCACTAACGGATCGGTCCTTAGTGGGTTGTTGTTACGTGATAGGTGTCACTCATTAGGACGGGTTCGGCTTCGGATTGTCACTTCATCTTAGGAGCATAACAATACTACACAAATCAGGCTCACGATATTAATAACACAGAACAATTGCTAAAAGCAATAAGCTGCTTCTTTAAAATATTGTTTAATGTGTTCCGAAGGTATCCTCGTTGTCATCCTTTCCCCATTCGAAATCTCCTTTATAACCTGTAGGTCTTTTTTGGAAGATAGGTACACTATTCGTACTAGTAATCAATGGTCACAGATTGCACGTAGATGTTGAACGTGCTACAAAAAGAGGCATTAATCATTAATGTAAAAATTTACCTCAAAGCCCCACATTGTTGATATCTCGGTTCTTACGCTACATACCGTAATATTTAATTCCCTTCTCAGTTTTGGGAGAAAGTAATTGTGGTTTTTTCATATTGTTCTTCTTGTAATTTGATTAACACTTTATCAGCCTTACATGTCTCGCTTTTAATCAAATAGAAAGGGAATCTTGTCTTTCTGTATATCAAAACATAACCATAATTTGTAAATAAATACAATCGAATGTCAAATAGGGCAGTGAATTTAGGTTTTCCTCTTTAATACCAACTTAAAAACGGTGCGTTAATAGGTCTCATTAACGCACTGTTTTGAGCGGAAAACAGTGCGTTAATAAGAACATTTAAAAATCGAAATAGAAAAAAAATAAATCGATGAATGTAAATTCAACTATTTATTTGGAAGTCCAGATATTTCGAGTGCCAATCGCGACTCTTCGTCAGTGGAACCAAATGTGAGATGAAAAAAGTCCAGAAAACCTTGGATTGTTAAATGGCGACATGTGCCAAGATTTCTTAATAAAGCAATAGAATAAAACAATTTACAGTTAAACCTGTTAGTTTAACCCTAACGAAGGCCGGTTACTTCCCATCAATTAAAAAAATAAACTTGATGAAACGATGATTTGAAAATATCTCAACAGTGTCTTATAGAGCTCAAAAAATGGCAATGAAAAAGTGTCTTTTATTTTTTATATCTGTTCACATAACATCAGAAAAAAATAACAAGTTAAAAAGTAATCGTAAACGATTTACATAAAGCGCATTTCCACTTGCATTCATTTCCCATTTGTAAGATGCAACTTCTGTTAAAATCGTAGAAATCCGGCCACAAATATGAAAGATAGCATTGCACATGGGCAATCCATTGTTGACGTGCTACTTCAATTTCAGTTTATGAGAAGAATTTCATTTCAATGCTTTTCTAAATAAGAAAGTTGGAACTGCGCATGCGCAAACCTCAATTTTAAAACTAATGTTAGATTTTCCTTTGTTCCAAGCGCCTAAGTATCAAATTTCACTTAAATAGTTCCATAGATAAAAAAGTTGGCACGGCGCATGCGCAAAATAAAATTTTGAAACTGGCGCTAGATTTTCCTTTATTCCAAGTGCCTATGTATCACATTTCATTTAAATTCTTCCATAAATAAAAAAGTTGGCACTGCGCATGCGCAAAACCAAATTTTGAAATTGGCGTTTGATTTTCCTTTATTCGAAGTGCTTTATGTATCAAATTTCGTTTAAATTCTTCCATAAATAAAAAAGTTGGCACTGCGCATGCGCAAAACCAAATTTTGAAATTGGCGTTTGATTTTCTTTATCCCAAGTGCCTATGTATCAAATTTCGTTTAAATTCTTCCATAAATAAAAAAGTTGGCACTGCGCATGCGCAAAACCAAATTTTGAAATTGGCGTTTGATTTTCCTTTATCCCAAGTGCCTATGTATCAAATTTCGTTTAAATTCTTCCATAAATAAAAAAGTTGGCACTGCGCATGCGCAAAACCAAATTTTGAAATTGGCGTTTGATTTTCCTTTATTCCAAGTGCCTATGTATCAAATTTCATTCAAATACTTTTATAAGTAAAAAAGTTTGCAATTCGGTTTATAAATGGTCGAGATGCGAAAAGGGCACTGTGAATTTTGAATCGATTCGATTCAACTTTTGGCATTGCGTATTATATGGCTAAAGCTATGCCCATATTGAATTTCATGCAATTCAGTTCATAACTAACGGAGATGTAAAAGCGATCGAACATTTCTAAACAAAGTTATCGTTCACACGGACAGATAGATGGACAGACAGACAAAGGAACAGACGGACAGACCAGCATGCAGACGACAGATAGCAATGCAAAATTATAAACGATCTCTAGGATCGTTAATAAACGGCAAAAGTGTAAAATTATGGAACATGTAAAAAACGGTTTTTTTGTTTTTTTACAATAACTTTTTTTGTAAGCGGTANCGGACGGACGGACGGACAAAGTGGCCACAATAAGTGGCCACAATAGCGCATTTTTTTTTTATTTTTGTGGAAATGCGCTAAAAACGTAATCGGCAAATTTCGAGACGAGACTTGGTTCCACTACTTCACCCCAGAGACTAAGGAACAATGACGGTATTCAATTTCTTCAAGTTTCAAAAAGTTCAAGCAAACTCCGTCAGCGGCGATGGTGATGGCTTTCGGACCCCAAAATTGCATTTATCGTAACGGGGATTATGCGTTAAAAAATAGGTGAAAGTCAAAGATTTCTTCTTCTTCTTGGCGTTATTCTCGCACAATTGCAGGATCCGCTCTTCTACACAGCCGTCTCCATTTGTTTCCTCATACCTCACCAAGCCAGTCCATCGATCGTGTCCTTGGTTTACCGCGTGGGCGTTGACCAGTTTCCATCGAGTCAAGTGGGCCAACACTCGAATCCATAGTGAGCAACCCGCCGGACCACAGGCTTGTAGAGTTTTTTCTGCACGACATGAATGGTCATAATTTGCGAATCCGTAAAGTAATGGGGAGCAACTGAGTTCGTAGAAATAGAGACAGACTAGACCCCATTCTCTATTTCTAATACATCAAAGTGATGGAAATCAAACTTAACTTAACTGTTAATATTCCGTAAGCTTTGAAACTCGCTTTTCATTGTTGTCTAAATATTGTTTTTAGTGCATTTCCACAAAAAAAAAATGCGCTATTGTGGCCACTTTGTCCGTCCGTCCGTCCGTCCGCTAACTTTGCGACGCTACTAGTTTTTTATCTTAAGAGCTATTGTTCTACTTTTTTCGCTATTTGGTTCGTTATGGTGTCGAGTCTTGTACCAAGGAAGGAATTTTTTCTGTAACGCTTACAAAAAAAGTTATTGTAAAAAAAACAAAAAACCGTTTTTTACATGTTCCATAATTTTACACTTTTGCCGTTTATTAACGATCTTAGAGATCGTTTATAATTTTGCATTGCTATCTGTCGCCTGCCTGTTGGTCTGTCCGTCTGTTCCTTTGTCTGTCTGTCCATCTATCTGTCCGTGTGAACGATAACTTTGTTTAGAAATGTTCGATCGCTTTTACATCTCCGTTAGTTATGAACTGAATTGCCTGAAATTCAATATGGGCATAGCTTTAGCCATATAATACGCAATGCCAAAATTTGAATCGAATCGATTCAAAATTCACAGTGCCCTTTTCGCATCTCGACCATTTATAAACCGAATTGCAAACTTTTTTACTTATAAAAGTATTTGAATGAAATATGATACATAGGCACTTGGAATAAAGGAAAATCAAACGCCAATTTCAAAATTTGGTTTTGCGCATGCGCAGTGCCAACTTTTTTATTTATGGAAGAATTAAACGAAATTTGATACATAGGCACTTGGGATAAAGGAAAATCAAACGCCAATTTCAAAATTTGGTTTTGCGCATGCGCAGTGCCAACTTTTTTATTTATGAATTTAAACGAAATTTGATACATAAGCACTTCGAATAAAGGAAAATCAAACGCCAATTTCAAAATTTGGTTTTGCGCATGCGCAGTGCCAACTTTTTTATTTATGGAAGAATTTAAACGAAATTTGATACATAGGCACTTTGGATAAAGGAAAATCAAACGCCAATTTCAAAATTTGGTTTTGCGCATGCGCAGTGCCAACTTTTTTATTTATGGAAGAATTTAAACGAAATTTGATACATAGGCACTTGGAATAAACGAAAATCTAGCGCCAATTTCAAAATTTTATTTTGCGCATGCGCAGTGCCAACTTTTTTATCTATGGAACTATTTAAGTGAAATTTGATACTTAGGCGCTTGGAACAAAAGAAAATCTAACATTAGTTTTAAAATTTAGGTTTGCGCATGCGCAGTTCCAACTTTCTTATTTAGAAAAGCATTGAAATGAAATTCTTCTCATAAACTGAAATTGAAGTAGCACGTCAACAATGGATTGCCCATGTGCAACGCTATCTTTTATATTTGTGGGCGGATTTTTACGATTTTAACAGAAGTTGCATCTTACAAATGGGAAATGAATGCAAGTGGAAATGCGCTTTATGTAAATCGTTTACGATTACTTTTTAACTTGTTTTGTTAATGAAAGGGGCTCGCTTTACGATTTGTAAGCATTCCACTCAGTAATCAGTTTTTATAAATTATTATTACTGGGGACGTCCGCGACCTTTGAAGACAGAGGAGGAAGGGGATCTTTTTCAATATACTTACCTTGCTATTAACAAATATAGGTACCAAAAATGGGATTAACATAATTTTTCGTATTTTTTGTGCCTAACGCTACTGTTAGTAGTGAAATGTTATGACAAATCTGCGTAACTATCACAGACATTCGATACTATAAATAGTAGATAATATAAGTAATAATTATACAAACATAATGATAAGTCTGTCTGATAACAGTAAAAAAACGCATTGTGTCTATGTTTTGTTAAAGTGGTGCAATGGAACAACGCCAAGTTCGGTTACTATCGTTAAGTGTGAAATATAAGACCCACCCTCAACTGCTTGGTATAAGGATACCAAAGAAGCTGGCAAATCTGGCTGGTTATGTGGTCGTATTACTTAACCATGTATTTTTATATTGCTTATCACCTCTTGTTCGATAACTCACTAAATTACCACTACTGTTCAGTTATACCGCGTATTTACTGTACAGTGCTACTTAGTGTTGGTGACCATGGCTCAACTAAGAGTTAATTTTCAATTAGGACGTAAGTTTAATGCCATTAGCGTAAAGTTGCCGCCCATTCTTGTTTTTTTTTTAATTAAAGGTAACAGTAATACTTAAACGTCCTTCGTGTTGTTTTGGTTTACGACGATAAACCGGGGTGAAGGATGTCGGGCTTGTATTTTATAATTGAGATGTTATACTTGAGCGCATTTTCAAGTATGAGGATTAAAACGCTTTGAAAACGTAGTCGGTAAATTTTTGGGTTTCCCCAGTATACGCAATTACACACTTGAATTACTGCATCAAGCGGACAATGATTTGAAATTATGTAGATTTCGTTTCGCATAATTAAGCAACGTAGCAAAGTATGATTAGATTCAGACATGAAATTAATATAAAAGAAACAACATTTAAAATGGTCACAATTGCTTCAGAATCTTCCGGGGTTAAATTTCAGAAAAAAACCCGCTCATAATTTAGAAAGCTCGATGTACGCTTAAGCAACCCATTTTTTTTAAAACTTCACATAACAAATAATGGGCCAAAGTAGCAACAGAGCCAATTTTTTGTCTGTCGATGCATCTAAGCATTTCTTCAATCAAATTGTAATTTAGTACCTCTTTTTTAAGAGATGAAGTTTATAGACTTCCCCGCTTTAAAATAGTGGAGAGGGAGATAGTGGACGATCCCCCCCACCCCTCTCCTCAGCTCCCTCTGCTACACCCTCCTTTCGAGGATGCAAAGGCGCCTCTGGTTCGCAATTTCATAGCTCGCCCCTCCGGATTCCCTCTATTCAAAGCACTCCGCTCCAGGGCCTGTGCGCCTAGTTTTCGGTTGTTTCATTATCATACCCTGTTTTCTTGTGTTTATTATGTGCGGCAGTTTCCGGCTGTTTGACCCCAGTACAACTCAATGTAATTGTGATTACCTAGTAAAACCAATTATGCTAATTTTTTTAACAGTGGAATCATCCATTACTAATCAATAAAGTATTATGGCAATACAAGAACAAATTCAGTAAATATTTTACCCCCCCCCCCCCCACATAAAAGAAACAAGAACCAGACTCAAAATCAACTTCTTTCAAGTTGCTAAAATGTAAAATAGTACGTACACCTGTGGAAAAATTCACACTATCTACCTACGCATAGACGAATCTGTTTACCTAACTACATACAACATTTTCAAGATACCCTGAATTATATAAACACCCTGTACATTAATCTCCAATGAAAGCCACCTACACCTGTAGAAAAATCTCACCCTATCTACTAAGCATCGATCACCACAATGTCCCTAACTCTGATGTGGATTGTAAAATAACGATTTGTAAGTTACATAAAAAACGGTTTTTGTAAATTTACATAGATGTAATACCTATTTGATAAATTTTGATCGGTAGGTACTACCACAGACCATCAACGGTACTACCAACGTAAGCGATTCACCATTGAATCTAGTTTGGTTTAATGAAGATGATACAGCATCTAATTCGCGATTTGGAACTTCTTCCAACCGAGGCGTGATGGCGAAATACCTACTGCTTAGGTATTTTATTTAATACACCAAAAATATTATTTAACAAGTGATTTTGTTTTCAAAAAGGTTTATGGAATATTAAAAAAACATAAATGACAAGTAATTTTACAAAAATATTTGTAAATTACGTAAAAAACATAGATTACTGGTAATTTTACTGTAACATTGCCCACACGTCACTGCGCATGCCCACACATTATTTTTACTATGTGCGAAATGTTTGCCTTTACTAGAAGCGCCTGTGGTTAAAATTTCAAAGAAATATCTCCATCAATAAGAAATTTGGCATTGCGCAGTATGCCCACACATCACTGCGCATGCCCACACATTATTTTTACTAAAATTTCAAAGCAATACCTCCATAAATAAGAAAGTTGGCATTGCGCAGTCACTGCGCATGCCCACATAATTTTTACTATGCGCGAAATGTTTACCTTTACTAGAAGCGCCTGTGGTTAAAATTTCAAAGAAATATCCCCATAAATATGAAAGTTGGCATTGCGCAGTCTGCGCAAAATATGGAGTTAAATGAAACTGATCGAATTGGGCAAATATAGACCATAACAGCTATCAATTAGCGAAAACCCGAAGTCTCTAGGTGGCCCAGGGGCCGAGATCTCGATGGAGCGGACGGACGGACGGACGGAAACACGAGCACATAAGCTTTACCTCAACTTTGTTGTGTTACGCTAAAAATGCAGGTCCGTATTTAAAAGAAATTGACATAGACTCCTAACAACCGAAACGTGGGATTTCATATCAAATCATGCCAGCTTGTAAGTGAAGAACAGTTACGTTGATAAAGTGTCGATTGTTTCAAAAATCTGTTCAACTAAAGTCACATGAAAATAAAATAGAAATAGCGAATTTCCATTTTTTTTCTTTTTTTTTTCTCTGAAAGTATTCGAAAATCCTTCACTTCCTTCTAAGCGGCGTTAGATTCGGCCCAACAAGAGCAAATTTGTCTCCATATAACCGAAGTTGTATCTTTTACTGTTTCCGAAATCCCAATGGTTACCCTCGAATTTGGGACGCCATGTACTGATGGAAAAACTCCTTCAGCTTTAAATGAAACAACAATTACGTTTTTATTAACACCTGCTCTTGCAGATTTTGCATGGACATTACCCCGAAGTAGTTTAGAAGAAAAGCAAACCTAATTGAGTGACAGACTGACGGCCGGGCAAAGTGCCAGAATTGGCGACAGACAGCGGTGAATGCGTCTGGATTTGCACTAGTTGACCAATTGACCTACTAACCCAACAAAAAATATCTTCGAAGTGGCTGAGTTTGTGTAATTAATCCGCAACTTAAGATTAGATAATGCTTTTTCTATTAATTCGCTGTTACAGTGATTAGAAATTGTTATAACTACTATTGAAGATAGTGATCAGGTTAAAAAAACCGTTGAATTTCAATAAAATAATAACCTATTTATAATTACGTATACCAATCAAAAAATTCCTACAAATGAGAAGAGAGTAAAGGTAAATACGTAATTAATTCCTTTAAAAATAGACATTTTAATAGATTTAAATGAGTGGCTAAGTGACTCTTTAACCGTGAAGGTAGATAAAGTGATCACTTTAACCGCAAGGATAGATAAAGTGAAACAGTTGATCATGCATTCTAATGACATCTGTCATTCTTATTTCAAATGGGATGCGGAGCACGCTATAAAATGACCTTCAGAATATATGACAATGTTGTTTCTATGGAAACGATCGCAACGGAAGAGCCTAAGCTTGCTATTTTTGACGTCCAAATTAAATATAGAATTGTCAGAAGCTTTACAATGATTTATATGGCTTCTGCTATGAACTGAAGTTTTGTGTTATACACGACGATAAAGGGAAACTAACCATCACACAATTCACTCAATGGTTAAAATATTCCTTTATCGTCTTATATAATAAATAACTATTAATCACTTAAGTAATTAGGAAGTTTATATTAGCGGGTTTCTGTGATTTAGATGCAGTAATAATTTAAAAATTACAATATTTTAAACATAACCTTGAATGGATAATAGAACTACTAACAGAAGATTTTGTCAAGATTTTGACTTTACTCTGAACCGCAATTCTTGATCGTTAAAGTCGATAGTTAGAAGGCGATGCTACTGTTTCGTACAGTCATTGAATTTATAACCGTACAGTGAAGGAATTAATGGTATACTCACATCTCCTCTTGACCCTTTCACTATTCAGAAGTTCACTGGAGACATAGAGTAATACTCTATGCTGGAGACCATGATGATGATTTTGGCATCCAGAATTTAAGATCTGGAAACACGATCTTAAATTTTCTAATAGTCAGTGTAGTTAAATAGTCCAGTCAAATTAGCGCAATTTTGGTCAAATAAAAACATTAATCGGTAAAGATCTGAATTTTGGTATACACATTTATTGGGACTTTCTATTGAACATACTAAAAGTCCCTGTCAAAATCTGTTGCGCTCGAGACGCCATCTTGGAAAAACGGTACACTTTTCCAGTTTTTTGTCTATGTCTCGGCAACTATTACTGATACGAAGAAATAGTTTACATGAAAAATATGGTTTACTAAATTCCCTATAAAAAAGAGTATTTACATTTTTTTGTATCTCCAATACTTTAGCTGTAATCTCACGTTGAATGCGTCAGAACGCGTTTAGGCCCCGTATCGTAGTTATAGAAAGGAGACCGTTTTTTTATGACTACACCGAAAGCTGTAAAAGCACCCAAAAATGAACAGTATTGTCTTGCGATAAAGCATTCTAGCAATGACATAATGTTTCATGATACGATCTGAGACAATTTTTTTTTCTGGGCTCAAAAAAAGGCAGTATATAACCTTCCTTTTTTTACCAAAACTCGACTACACCAAAATTTCTCGGGAAAACACTTTTCTTATTAATTTTGGGGCGTAGAATCCAAAACAATTCGTACTTTTTCGATTAGACTTCTCAATCAAAATTTATAGACTAGAAACCAATTTCGAAAGAAAATTCAAAGGGCTGTAACTTTTGAACTAGTGGCCCAATCTTCGAACTGTTTGAAATTATGGATTCTACAGGGCACATTCTATAAGAAAATTTTTTTTCCCGGTCGATCTGAGACAATTTTTTTTCGGGGCTCAAAAAAAGGCAGTGTAACCTTCCTTTTCTACCAAAAATCGACTGCACCAAAATTTCTCGGGAAAACACTTTTTCTTATTAATTTTGGTGCGTAGAATCCATAACAATTCGTACTTTTTCGATCGGACTTCTCAATCAAAAGTTATGGACTAGAAATCAATTTCGAAAGAAAATTCAAAGGGCTGTAACTTTTGAACTAGTAGCCCAATCTTGGAACTGTTTGAAATTATGGATTCTACAGGCCACATTCTATAAGAAAATTTTTTTCCGAGTCGATCTGAGACAATTTTTTTTTCGGGGCTCAAAAAAAGGCAGTGTATAACCTTCCTTTTTTATCAAAAATCGACTACACCAAAATTTCTCGGGAAAACACTTTTTCTTAT